CTTCAATCCCAAGAAACCTGTTCCTTGCCCGAAAGTCAGTATTTTCCTCATATCCGTTTTCATTCCAAAGTTTATACAATTCCGGACAATTAGTTTTTAATTTCCTCAAATTGAAATCCCGCTGGCTTTTCAATATCTCTATTGCCGTAGAAGTCAAATGATAAGCATCTTGAACGGTATTGGCTCCATAAGCAGAGATCATCAACATAAATTTAAAAAAAAGAATTTAACATGTCATAACATTTTGGATGATGTTCCTTTAAATTTCTTAATGTGAAATTTCAAAACGCAAAGCCAAGGAAAATGGCGAAGTGGTTAAACCAAATGGGAGACGATTTAAATGGAGAGTTTTTCGGTTGAATCGCAATCACCTATCTCTTCGGGAAACCACAAAAATTTAAGGATATTTTCTATCTTCCTCCGCAATCTCTATCATAAGAAAAGCTTTCTCTAAATCTCTCCGCAAAATGCAACTTGATATTCTCGAAATTTAAGAATTATGTCCAATAAATTTGCATAAAGATTTACTCCTGATTCTAGAGACTCATTAAGAGATTTATTATTTTCATTAGCCTTACTGCTACAGTCATAAACAATTCTAACTCGAGTTGTTTCCTTGTCATCCCTAATTACCGCTCTGTGGGGCATATAATATCCTGAATTTTTATCTTCATTAACACATTTTCCCATAATCTGACATTCTAACTGATCCGATATAATTTGTTTATACTGGTCATAAATTTCCTGATTTTTATTTAGTTTGTGCTTTAACGAATCAAAACGCTTTTTCACAACCTCATAATTAGAATTCAACCCAACTGCAGGTCCCAAGATTTCCTTCCACATCAATCTACAAACGTACCTTTCCCCATTAAATTCCAGAGAATTTTCAAATTTTTCAATCAACTGATTGTCCCATTCAGAAAAGTTTTGTTTGTCTGACTGAAATTCTTCTATTTCCCAAAATTTTTTTAAATCGCACAAAATGGAAGAAGAGTCCATGACTAAACATACATTTTCATAATTATTAGTTAATTTATTACTTCCTTCCACTCCCGCTAGTAACCGACCGAAACAAGAATTTATCGCAGTAATGTTTTCATTTAACTTTACTCTCTGGTCATAAACAATATCCCAAAATGAATCGCATCCGATAAGTATTTTCGTCTGACAGTCGCCAGAAAATGAATCAGCCAAAGGTAAACCTCTTTCCTTCAACGCATTGCGAATAGATACATCAGGAATTTTCAAGGACAAATTAGATATATAATCCGTTATGACAGCTTCTAACTCGTACGATTTCGAACTTTGATCCCTATTGCGCAACGTTAATGAAACGATACCGTATTCCTTCTCACGTGCTATTTTGTCTCCGAAAGCGAAAATAGCTATTCTTTCGTAGCGTATTGGCTTTAACTTTAATTCCTTAACTAATCGAGATGAAATAAAACTTCGATGACTACCATTGTCTAAAATAACATTAGTTAAGACTGAATTTTTATCCGAACAGGCTAAAACTGTACATGTTTGTAAAAAGGGCTTATTTTTGGTACATATATTACTATGAGACACAGAAATATTCTCGGCGTTTTTATTAGATTTAGATTGTGAGTCATTCAAAACAGTTTCGCTTTCCACTTGCTTCTCACAACCTTTCGTCTTAACATTAACGGGTTTATTTTTTCTACACACTGACTCATGATGAAAATTGCTTAAACAATTTTACACGATATTTTTGCCCTGCATACGCGAGACCTGTGATATTTCTGGAAACAACACCAGCATCTAGCTTCAGTCCTAAGCTTATTTATTTATTGTTCTACATCCAATTTTTTACAACTTACGGAATCGTGATGACCGTCACAGAATAAACAAACATTTTTTATTTGTGCATTTAACGCTGAAGCGGTTGATATATTTTTAGGCTTTGAATAGTTTTTCTGATAAGTTTGACCACTTTGATAATTTTGGGAAAAGGATCGTTTTGTTTCGTAACTTTTTAGGGGGCTCATCACAGTTTCAGAAATTTCCCTAGATTCGACTTCATTCCTCAAAAACGTAATAATTTCCGAAACCTCACACTTCACTTCCCTGTTTCGTTTTCGGTGAAAATCTAACACCAAATCTTGTGGTAGCAACTTCAATAATATCGGATTCAATAAATGCCCATATGAACCCTCCGTTACATTTAATGAACGCAAATTTCTTATATTAACTTCTATTTCATCGTATAATTTACGCAAACCCTTAACATTAGACGAACTTCTCACGGGTTCTAAGCTTAATAATTTAGTCATATAAGAATTTATAATAAAATCAGTTCTACCATATCTTTGTTTTAAAAGCTCAAGACATGAGTCATAGTTTTTCTCATTTAATTCAAAACCCGAAACAACGTTATATGCAGGACCAGAAAGAAGAGATTTTAAATATTGGAATTTTTCAATTTTCGTAAGTGAATTGTTTGAACCGATTGCGCTATCAAAACAGTTTAAGAATTCCATAAATTTGCCAGAATCACCATAGAATCGCGAAATTTCTAACTTTGGTAATTTTAAAGCCGTAGCGGTGTTTTCCGAAACACTAGATGTGTTAAGAACTGAAGAAGTCCGCTGAACATTTTCTGCTGCTAATTCTTTAATTTTGCTTTTTAGTTTAATCTTAGCTAACAATATTTTGTCATCGTATTCTTCCGAAGCTTTTAATTCACCTTTAAATTTTTCCGGATCGTCTATGAGTGCTTCCACCTCTAAATCATGGCTTTTCAAGATCTGTTCTTTCGTTTCTAATAGTTCCAGTAGTTCTGATAATGAACTTACGCCTTCGACGGCTTCATCAAGCTTCTGCACTCTTTTAACTAGTTTAGTAACACTAGCGCGAACGTACTTACTTCTTTTTCAATTATTTTCGAAAGCTTATCCATATTAACCTCAGAATTTGTGAGTTCAAAAGATCTTACCTCCACAGTCCAGTATGCAATGTTACGTATCCAAAAGCGTACGTACAGTATCCAAACCTCTCAGAACTACAATCCAGTAATGATGACTAATTACTTCCGGTATTCCACATTCGCGGACAAGATGCACCAATTTTGCATCTAATGGTTCTGTGAGACTAAAGGTGCATCCAAGAGATAATAAGAGGTTTTGTTAACAATAACAACATTTATTTACAAGAAAATATACGAAAATTTCAATCAATTAAAGAAAATTCAATTAATCAATTAGATATATTATTAGGCATCTCTGCCTTCCACGTCTTACACCTTTAGTATCCTGCCTGCCACTGACTATTAGGACGAACGCAGCGCCCTCTAGTCAGAATGACGCTGGCTGGAAATACGTAATAATGTCCACTATTTTATTTTTAAAACTTAATTATTTACGATTTATTTAATAACTTATATTTTTAATTATCTCTTTGCATTTAATTACACTTTACTATTAATTGTTTAATTATTCTTCTCATTAATAATCAAATTTTAATAATTAATTATTAATTATATTACTAATCATTTTATTTATTTATTTATTTATTTTCTTCTTTCCTGACAGTCTTCCATAGAGCTCTTGCACTTCTAATTTTAAAAATTAATCCCTGAATACCAGTACTGATAATATCTTTTAAGTTATTTTTAAATTTTTCAAAAACAAAACATTTTAAGGTAAAAATAATGCTCGCAGAAGAAGCAATCCTCATGAACTAGCCTTAATACGAAAACACATCTAATCATTACATAAATTCTTACATTTTCTGAAAGTTTAAGCGAGAAATTACGTAATTCGTGTAACTATGTTTGGTGTCAAAGTCTATGTTTTAAATTTGTTTATGAACATTTAGAAGACAGCGTAGTTTCTTATGAATTACAGAATTATCTCCGCAGCCAATCGAAACTGTATTTTTTATTCCATTGTACTTTGTTAAACCTTTTTATGTCTAAGGATGTAAGCTAACTTGTATTTTTAAAAAGTTTCTGACCGAAACATTTCCATTAACAAAAGAATTTCTAGTCTGTTATTAGTCTAGGATATGCTATACTGAACAAATTTTCTATATTCTTTTTTCAAAACTATAACTCACACATACTAAAGTCGTAGAGTCATTAGAACTTTTTTGAAGCAGGGGACACGAGAAATGATCAATGCCTTCGCCGGGACTCGAACCTGGACCTCTCGAATACGCGCCGAGTGTGGTACCGTTACACCACAAAGAAATGCAGAAAGAAGAGAAAAAATACCTTACTCGTTCTTCCCCCCCCCGGGGTCGACGTAGAGAACTCTGCGAAGCTACTGGCTAGGATCTGTACCTAGGCAGTCTCGGCCACGGGGGTATAAAATTTATGAACTTGGTGGTTCTGAAGGCTCTGGAAAAGGTCACCTATTGGCCGGCCTCGGAGTCTGGCATGTCCTAGCGCTGCGTGGTTCTAGTAACCCGGGGGTCTTCCCCGGGGTCGCTGGGTAATGTCCCGCTGCGACGGGCTCGCCCAAGCGACTGGTAGGAGCATTAGACGACCGGTGCTGCCTGGTGTCATATCCAGGTGGTGCGCTGCTCCCTTGGAGGGTAATAGTGGAGGTTGAACTTCCACGAAGTGCCCAAAGGAGAAGTAGACCTGTAGTGGGATTTAGTTTCCGGAACAGGGAAGCCAAAACTTACTTACTTACTTACGTACTTACTTACTTACTTACCTTACACGTTCTCCCTTTTTAAAGGGCTGATGGAAATTAGGAGACCCTATAGCCAAATCCTGGTGGTGAGAAATCATCATCCACCACCTTTTTAGTTCGAGCACCATTGTAGCGTCATTAAGATTTTTTATTTTTGAAGCAGGAAACACGAGGAATGAGCAATGCCCTCTCCGGGACTCGAACTTGGACTCTCGAATACGCCCCGAGTGTGCTACCGGTTACACTACGAAGGAAGGCAGAACGAAGGGAGAAAATACCTTCTGATCAAATTCTTCAAAAACATAATCACACATATTAAAGTTTAAATATTATTACCTGCTTTGAGCAATACACGCATATTTCTTCACATCATTCAGTAACAGTCCTGCCGTGTCGAGCAAATTAAAAATAGCTAGTAATGCATCATTAGTGGTTGAATTCTTTACTGAATCACACGTATTATTAGTAGCTACAACAACGAAAGTGAATATATTCCATGCAGTGTAGTAGAGACATACGCTAGCAAGTTTCATTTCTACTGGCGTAAAGCGTTCAAGAAGCTTACGAACAAAATGCACAGTTTTATTCACAGATATAGTGCTTCCTTTTAAAATTTCAGATTAAAAGACGAAACGTTATCAGTTTGCGCTTCCTTTCCCAGAAGTTATGAACCATCTGTTTATCGTTTGGAAAATCTGCGGGATTTTCCCATTCCATTTTGGCGATAATCAGATTAATCTGCGAACTTTCCTTTTTCGTCTTACTGTATATTTAGGCTCATTTATCAATGTACGGAGAGAAATTCTTTTGAGCTCACTTATCAAGCGAAGTACTTTCAAGGTGAAATAAACAATGCAATTTCCTGCTAATTTGTTTTAAAAAAATGGATTTTTTCTGCCACTTGGCTCAAGAATCAAATTTCGTGTTAATTTGTTAAAAAAAAAAAAAATAAAATAAATTTGAGATCCGAAACTGACAATGTTAAACAATCTTATTTTACACTATAAAAAGTTGTATTAGTACCCATAATATTATACTTTCATAATTTATCTCCGTATTTCCTTATAAGACATGCTTTAAAACATCCCGTTCTATAAGCAATCTTATATCATTTACTAATGTATGAAGATTACCTGATATGCCTTTAAGGAAGTCTTAGAAAAACGTGATATTGATGCAATGAAATAAGATGGTAATGAGTGATAAGTAAGTGGATAATGAAATAAGAAAGATATCAATGGCTGCCGTAAATAATGAAAAAGAAACGTAAAGTTGGTAACCGTAATTTTTGAGGGAGTGAGAGCAAAAGCGGCGTAACTTTTTTAGACGGTTTTGAAGGTTTCTTTCAAATTTTATATTACGTCCAAAGGGACTTTTTTTAACCTTTTCTGTGTTACCTTTATTTATTAAATATCACGTTCTTCGCACACAAACCATAAAATTCAACTCAATAGCAATATCGCAAAATAATTTTTAAATGAGCATATCTTTAGAATTTCCGATACACAGTTTCGCGAACTGGAGATAATTTTTTTTTTTTTTTTTTTTTTTTTTTTAATTTTATTAAATGAAATCTATAATAAAACACATTCCAAATCAGGGCTTCCAGATGCCCATATTCAGTGGACGCTTACCTTATTCAAAATCTGATGGCTCTATGTATCGTTGTTTTATCACAATGCAAGAAACATACATACATTTATACAGGATCTCCATTATTTAATTTTTTAAATATAACACAGGGCGGTAATATTGGTTGGCAACAGTTTGAAAAATGAATCAACGCAAAATGCCAAAACTAAATTTATAGTTCTTTCGAGCTAACGCTCCTTTGGGCTAATAACTAAATAAAACAGTACACATTTTAACAACAATGCAGAAAAATAATACGGATTTTTAGAAATTTACAAAAATATAAATAGTAAAAAAGAAGAATATATTTAAAGCAAGGAACAAGACTAACCTATGGTGCATGTATCAGAAGTGGCGGGGAGAAAAGGAAATATTTTTAAGTAAAATTTCTTACGCATTTCATATCTACATAAACAAACAATTAACGTATCACTAAATTCTGTGCATACTTTATTATTCTTACCGTATACTTCTTTGATCTTGAACCAAAAGCCTTTTCAGCAAATATGTAACTGCGTCCTCGGTTAATCAGTTTGCAGCCGACTCTCAGGGCATAACGTTCGCTTCATTTCTTATTCAATGTAAATGGACAAATGTGTGTTGTAAATAAGCAAATCTATTATTATAAAAGTTTAATGTAGTTCTGTAAATTTAAAATAATTTTTTTCATTTTAAATGCGTTCTTGTGATCTCCTGTTATCTGTTGTTAGCTGAAACCTGCAAATATCCTATGTTTTTGTATGTTTTTCCTTGTTTTTTTTTTTTTTTTTTTTTTTTTTTTTTTTTTGTACGTTATCTTCTCCTTTTTTTACTTATATTCAGTAGATTTATTCTTAAAATGTTAGTGATCAGTAGTAGTTATGGCGAGTTTACAGCATTCAAAATTAAAAATTATTTTAAATTAATCATTTAATAGTAATCAAAATAGTTAATATTAATAATAAATGAAATAAACCGATGGTAGAAATGGTGAAATAATTAACTATTCGGTTCTAGAGCGATAGGTATTTTAAAATGCCTATTGATGACTAAATGACTTACATGAAGGTTTAGCTAAAATGGCGAGGTTTATCTTAAACTTTTACTCCTGTGGGAAAACAACTAATGACATAAATATAAATATCTTACACAATTTTCCCAGTGCAACAAGTAATCACATAAACACTTATCACGGAAACCGGTAATTGCAGAAACATAAAATAGCTTTGCACAGCTTTTTATTTGTATCATCGGCTATTTTTGCATCCAGAATGTTGAAACGTGTCATCATTCTAAAGTTTGTCAAGTAAAAATCAATAACCATGTATAAATTTTCCATAGAATATTTTTTTTCGGATTCAGATTAGTTCCTCAACTTTTTTTCTGCATATTTAAACAAAATTTTCCATGTTAATCATATGTATTCCATATTAAAGATAATTCTGTATTAATCAACGTTTCTCTGTATTAATCATACAAAGAAGATGAAAGCATGTGATAACTAATTCGGTTTTTCTCTCAGAAATTTTCTGTAGTGCATGCACCTATCAAGCATACGCAGTTCGACAGTAAAACGTAAGCTGTTTTGACGCCCAACCGGTATAGTGGTTAGAGTTGCTGACTGCCGTGCCGAAGGGCTCATGTTCGATTCTCGGAGAAGGCCTAGATGCTTGTAAATGTGTAGGTGCAGCGTGCGGCATTTAAGCACTCGAAATATGCGGCGAGCCAAAAGCCCTCTCGAGAGGTTGTTGGTAGAAGAAAGGGGGCAGACCCTCGGACCCGTCCCCCCCGAAGTGCTGTCCATCAAAACGGGGGGGGGAGCGGAACTGAGCTAAATCGCAGTGTCACTTGTAAGGTGCTCAAGGCTGTCGCCAACTATAGGCGTATCTTGCGCTCCTTCCCACGAGGAGTTTCGTGAGCTTCGGCTGACTATAGGTTAGGTCCCAAATATTATCGCCTGTATTATATTTAAAGAAACTAAATGATGAAAATGTGCATGAATGGATATATGTTTCTCGCATTGTCAAAAAACAACGATATCTAGAGTCATCAAATTCTGTATAACCTAGTCCTCCACCCGAATATGTTCACCTAGAAGCCCGAACCTTGAATTTCGAGTTTGTTTTGCTATCTATTTCATAAATATTTTTCTTCAATTTTAAAGAATTTTTGATCAAGTAACTCAACGATCTGAAAGCGAGCAGTGGCAGCACACTGCTCGCTTTATTAATAAAGTAATAAATAATAATAAGGAATAAAATAGTTTTATCTTCAGCAAGCGAGACTATCTATCGGAAGTATCACTTTTCAGATTGTTGCCACCAAATATTATTTACCTATATTATATCTTAAAGAAACTAAATATTGAAGAACCCGCATGAATCTGTATGTTTTTGACATTTTAAAAAAAACAGCGGTACCTAGAGTTATCAAATTTTGAATAAACATAACCATCCACTCGAACATGGGCACCTGGAAGCTCGAATTTGTTGTACTGTCTATTTCATATTTTGACAAAACTTCGATGAATTTTTTTATTGCAAAACTTTACAGTTTCAAAGCCTGCAAAAGCAGTGGCAACACTGTAGGGCAGAGGTTTCTCAGCTTTTTTGTCTCTAAGAGAACATTCTAAAATATCTGTTGGACGGCAGGCACCATTTACTTTTTGAAGGTGAATTTATAGTATGATAGAATTAATAATACAAACACATAAAAAAATAAATAAATAAATAAATAAAATCGGTCGCATTTCGCTTTGTGTGGTATCTGGGTTGTACGCAATTTCTATTTCATTAAAAATGAGAAAACTTTCACGTATAATTTTATTGAAAACTAATGCATTTTTATGGTGATCGCACAGCGGCGGGCACACGTTAAACGATCGGCGTGTGCCATGGTGCCCGCGGGCATAGGGTTGGGAACCCCTTCTGTAGGGAATAAAACTTTTTTATATACAGACTGTCTATGGAAAATTTTAAAGATATACTGTAATTAAATATTTTTACCCCAAATTGACGCCAGCCCAAATGCTTTCAAAACGTGTATGTGTCTGTAAATGGAAAAAAAAAAAAAAAAAAAAAAAAAAACGCCCAGAAGGGCAAAATAAAATCTAAATCATATTTCTTGATGAGGGGGGGAAAGCTTTCAGATTATCCCCATCAAGAAATGAATGCTTCTTCGTTATGTAAAGCTTGTTTAATGGATCAATGATCTAATTTCTCAGTCTGGAAAATATTATAAGTCGCCTTTAAAAATTTAGTCATGTTAAAGAGTTATGACCTTTTTTAAATTCGATTGTCATTCTGCGTTCGAACCCCTTTAATATAAATAGTACGTTAGTGTCCATTTCCATTTTGAATGTAAATTCTTTTTTTGTTTTACGATCAACTCACAGGATACCTGCTTTTCAAAATAATGAACTTGAATGGGCATTTAATTTTCTACAGAATCATTATACAGTGATTTTATAAACTTCATTTCTTATTTAATTGCCCGAGTTATTTATGGTAGAAGTTACAATAGCTGAAATGAGAAACAAACTAAAAAATTATCTTTGCTGTTGCAAGACAAATGTTTCTCTCAAAGTTGCAAGTGCTTGTTATTTTTGTTATCACTTGAATATAGATAAACTTTGCATCAGTGGAAACAAAAATAGCTAGATTTGTAATAAGCTAGGATTGACTAAACTTTAAACACAACATCTCTTTCCATCGCACCATCAGGTCTCTGTTATCGAGTTTTTTACAATTTTTAATTTCTAAGTAAAAATGAAGCTCGGATTTATCACCTTGTTGGAGTGACCTGTAAACAGAAGTAATTTTTATCCAACAAATCTAGGCGAGATTTGTTCCACTACTTTGTCATGCGCATCATTTTTTCCCCCTATATGCGATGTTTATTATCAAGAATTTCTGAAAAAAAAAATTATTTTTGAATTACCATTTCCTTTTAGATTTTCCATGCTTCCTAATATTAAAATCAACGTTTACAAATTAATCTGTAAAATGCCGCAAAAATTCGACAAAATTTTAAATTCCACATCCATAGTAATTTACCCCGGTATCGCCAAGAATATTATAACAGCTAAAAATTAAATTTTTACTTTTAACTAAAAGCATGTAATTAAAATACCTTTCATGCATTTTATTTTGTATTCTTTAGTTTACAAAAGGAAAAAAAAAATGTAATTAGAGGGAAACAAATACCGTATCTGAAATTAGACGCTGAATTCCTGTTAATGAATGCAGCAACAAAGTGCACAGAATGGAATCATCTTCCCCCTTCTCCCAAGATCATCCAGTCTATCCGATGGCGTAAATTTGCATTAAATTTGTTTAAAATTCTGCTTGATTTAGACATCCGACCTTACTTAAAATCATGGAGCTTCTAACAATTAAGGACTTAAAAATCTATTATTGTTATCAACTGTGCTATTGCTGAGGAATCAAACAATATCTTTAAAATCGTCCAAATTCGGTAAATTATGCTGGAAATTACCAAAAATCTTCATTTGGAAGTCCTCCTTCCCCTCTCCCCGTCTAATGACGTAAAGACGAAAATCTTGGGATGATTATTTGACCGTTACACGAAAAGGAAATTTCAGCACTGAGGAAAACGAATTCTAACCGGATGTTGTGATATTATTACAAATACGCATGTCTGAAAAATTTCATATTTACTTATAATTAATTACATTTCTAATGTGAGGATTTATATTATTTTTTATGTAGCTTTATTTATATCTGGAATGATAGACATACGGCAACAAATGCGAAAGGCAAATTTAAAAATATTTCCTGAAAGTTTTTTTCTTATTTTGCTTTTTGGTTCATATGGTAGAAATAATCTATTAACTTTTGGTATAGTAGTTTCGGTTAAGAACAATCTGCTTTTTGCAGCATAATTCGATGCTTAGAGAGTTCATTTTTGAATCGTCGTTGGATGTCTATTGACTGTGACTCCTCTCCAATACTGTATCTTGCTCTTCCATTTTCATGCTGCACAATATAAAAGTAGTTTTTGTTGAACAAATTTTGAAGTAAAATTGCGTATTTTTACACTTCCAAAAACAAAGCGCAAAAGGCAGATCCGATCCGATCCGAACAATTATTGCTGGGGGTAGCGCGCTGTTTCCAGCTCTTGAAGAATTGCCAAGAGGCACATGACTTTAGTTAGTCTGACATAGTAAAGTTGTACGATTAAGATGATGGTAGAAGGGGAGCAAGCAAGAGGCCACAAGCCTAGGATTAGGCCATACAAGAAAGCGCGCAGCAACAGACGGAGAAGTGCAAGGTAGTTCAATCATGAGTATGTGTTGTGGTACTGGGAAAGTACTAAACATGACATAACGAGTTTGTAGAAAATACGAGTACAAACTCTCGGGCAAAAGGCAGATGGCAAATTCTGAACCTGAGCAGAGGAATAAAAGTCACATGCCTTGCCATGTGATATTCGAAAGGAATCGGAGATGCATTTCATACTTTGTCGGTTTCTATATTTCATGCTTTGCCGCTCTTAGGCAATGTGTAATGTTTAATCGTTTCATACACTGCTGGCCAGTTTTCAGCATTCTATAAAATGCCTAGGTATTCTACAGAATACCGGATTTCATACTTTGTCGATAATATATATATACACTCTAAATTCGATCCGAATCCAAAGGAGTGATATCCCACCTCCCTCTAATGCCAAAATGGCACCAACCTCCAAGGAGCGACTTTTCGCTCTAATAAAAAGCGGTTCCCACTCTCATAAAAAAAGGACTAAACCTTTCTTCGTTCGCTCTTCTCCATAGCGAGATATCGCCCGATATTCGGGTTACACGCATTACAAGGAGTACTCTGCTCACTCCTTCATGGTGCGATTGTTTATGTACTTATTTTATTCTACTATATTAAAATATTTATCTTATTTGCAAACTGAAAATTGGTATTTACTGTATGTAAAGTTTATGGCTGAGGTAAAGTTTTAGATTTCTGGTTAATATTATCTCTTGAAAAAATGTTTTACACACCTTTTTAACATGCTATTGTGATTTTAAATATATGACATATACATCTGTTTTAGATTTGCTATCTAGGTACTTATAAAAACATTTATTGGTAATGAAGAAGATTATGAATCAAAGAAAACCATCAGTGAAATAAAAGGTACAGTTTAAAGACAATCATATCTTCATTGTTTAGACATACAGATTTCTTTCCAAATCTAAGGAAATACATACTTCAAAAAATTACATCCACATTAAAATATTGGAAATTCGGTGTCATGTTACAATATTTAATATTCTGAAATACTTAACACTATCACTATCTCACAGTATTTTTTCTATGTTTATATTACATAGTAATGTTTATATTTCTTATTACAAAATTATGAAGAGCTTAATTAATTAATTAACCTATTACCCCAAATTATGAATAAAGCTTAACATCTTCAATTAGCTTATAACGTTTTTACTTTTGAGAAGTTATATGCATACAAATTCCTGTACATTAATCATTACAGGTGAATAAATGTTTACATATATTTTTAGACTATAACTTATTTTTATATATGCTAATTCTACTTCCAAGTCTCATATGCAAAGAATAAAGTAAATTTTAAAGTTAAATAATATGGATTAGCTCACATGTGTAAGATAAAAATTCATTTTTCATAATTCTACGAAAATTCTTATGTACTTTATTTATTGATTAAATCTAAGTAGAAATCATTAACATAACTGCAGAATTACAATAATTTCCATGAACAAAGTAATTTAAATATAAATGAAAACAAGCAATGCATGAAAAACTTTTTATTAGGAAATATACGTACATACATATATAAATGGACAACATAACACTAAAAATATGGCAATAAAATGACATGACAAAAAAATGAGGCTCTACTCTTATATGCGCCCTAAGGTCACCAAATGTAGCGATATGTGTTCTGCGCTGGTTTTTGGCGCGATTGCGTGTTGTATGGCAACTCTTTTGTCTTTAAATACTCTTTTCCTGGAGTGTTTTAATTGCTGGTTGGTTCGTGTCGCGTGTGTTTTAAAATGGCCTATGTTGCAATGAGAGACGTGGTTGCAAGAGGGTGTGGGAGATTATTTTTAGTGGCTGTGCATGATAGAAGTAACGAAATGCTGATGCAGTGTATTAAACAGTGGATTGAGCCTTGTACAACTGTTTTTTCGGATGGCTGGAAATCTTACAAGGATTTAGGAAAAGAAGGTTTGAACATTTATTTGTGAACCATAGTATGAATTTTCTGGATAGTGCGTCTGGCTGTCATAAAAATACGATAGTGATTACGTGGCGGCATAAAATTGGTATTTCTGCTGTTCGACAAAGCATTCATTCATGGTAAGTACATTTTATTTTATTCTTGTTCTTATTTTGTAGAATGTTATGTTCATTGTTTTTTTAGTATGAATTTCTATCGGTATTGTTGTTTTGTTGAATTGTTTAAAATTTATTTTAATTATTTTAGTTTATTTTGGGGATTAGTGCGTAGTGCTTAGATTGTGCAATTCGTAGATGTTTTTTAAAGTTGAAACAGAAAGCTGTGTACATGGTATTCTTTGAAATTTATTGTTGTTATGTTAATTTATTGAATCGAGGTGTGCGTAGTTCGTAGATTCTTTCGCTGCCTAGATTGTGCAATTCGTAGATGTTTTTTTAAAGTTGAAGGAGAACGCTGTGTACATGGTATTCTTTGAAATTGATTATTGTTATGTTAATTTATTAAAGCAAGATGTTAGTAGTTCATAGATTCTTTCGCTGCCTAGATTGTGCAATTCGTAGATTTTTTTTTAGTTAAAACACATCGCTGTGTACATGGATTGTTGTCAAATAATTTTGGTTAGAAACTTTATGTTTTTTTCTATCTAAATTTTTTTTTTTCGGATTTTTAGCTTAAATTGTGTGTTCAAAACGTGGTTTTTGCATGTGCGAAAACCGCGTTTTTGGAAACATTTTAGGCTTAAAGTTCGAAATGTAGGCAAAAAATTTAGATAGTAATATGGCATCGTGAAGTTTCTCGCCAAAAATGTTTGGCGAGAAATTTGGCGACTTGAGGGCGCTTATAAGAGTAGTTCCAAAAATGACATTAAAAATCTAAAAATTAAAAAAAAACCTATTAAAAAGTACTATAAGTTGAAACTATAAGCTGAAAACGCTACGACTTCACCAGAGAATTGGGTAAAGTATACGATTTTTATGTCTTGCTGATATGTTGCAATTCTACCAAATAACTAGTGCACACTAGCGGCCGAGCGGTAAAGTCGCTGAACACTGGTAGTTCGGTCCAAGGTTCGAATCCCGCGAACGGGCTGGCGGCATGGGCGTTTCCGTGGTTTTCCCCATGTGCAACGTGTATGTAAGCCAGTTTCCCTTAGAAACTTCTCCAAGAAGGCATCACTCCACTTAGGCAGATAGCCCTCGTGCGCTTTGCCATAATTAAATACACAATACACCTACCAAATAATTTGCTCACTTGTGTTATAAAAAATTCAAAACCATAGTATGGATTTTTTTTCACCTCTGTTCTTCATATTTGAATTCAAAATGCATGCAAAACTGAATTTAAATAATTAAAATCGATAGTATTGTGTAAATTGTACAAAAATAAAAATAATTTTAAGAAGTGTTTACCCAAATTACTACTAATGTGATGTTAGCACTGTAGATCTCCGCCTATCATTTAGCATGAGTATTAGAAACTGAAATTATTCATTTCAGTTATTCATGATTAAAAATTATGCTTCAAGCATATAATGAATTGTAAAAGTTAAATTTTGAATTAATTACCGGGCTTTAGCAATATTAAAATAAATATTAATAAAGCCATATTCTTATTTTTAAAAAGTAAAATCAAGAAACCTTGTTACTCAACTTGAACTCGATAGAAGTTTAAATTTAAAGTTACTTTCTCTTCTTTATGGTATATCTCAATGTTTTTTTTTTTTTTTTTAATTTGAAAAAGTGACATGATATTCGTATTTTGCAACTTTCATTTGTAACTCTTTAGTTTCCATGGTGAAATTAATTTAAAAGGCACCAGTTGAAGTGCTGAACATGGGTATGTGTTTTATGTTATATTAGTGCATGCTTCCGATTAATAAACTCAACAATATACTGAAAGTCATTCATTTTTTTATCGTGAGACATATTTTTAACTTTTTTAATAATGTTATTGTTTTGTTCAGAATTAGATCGTTATCTCTCGATAGCGCATCCAACGCGATAATGAAAATCACTTGATTAGATATATCTTAATGCACTGGGGTATGGTGATTGTGCATAAATAATACTCTGTCAATGCATATTATGTGCCGTTTTCGTTCACTTTAATCTGACGTTATTTTTGGTAAGTATGTGTGGGAAATGTTTGTTCTTGTATGTTTTCGTAAAAATTTCTGCTTGTGTTGTTTAATTAAATTATTACTAATTATTGAATCAATGTCTGCAGTTTTGTGAATTTCATAGAAAATATGTGCATTAGAAATGTATGCTGAAATGAGTGTATTTGAAAATTGTAATCGGTGATCTTTTTTCATTGAAATGTACATTCATTATGGTGATCTTATTTTCTTCTAGATAAACGATACTAGTGTCATGTGTCAGAAAGGATTTCAAAATTAGTTTAAAATGATTTAAATTTATCTATCCAAATGAAGGAAAACTATTTTTTATTTAAAAGGCGGGAAATTTTTAATGTGCTATAAATTATTGTTTCTAAATGTGCTTCCTTTGATTTTATTTGACATATTTCTGTCTTTAGTTGTTTTTGTATAACTAATATAAGTAAGATTATGTGTTATTTAGTAATCATTTGGCATGTGTATAAATATATTATTCAACTTATATTGCCTTTTATTTTAGCCCTAATTTTTTTTAATCACTTTAAATTTTTATTGCATATTATTTATTTATTTTTCACATCTGATTTTCTTCTTAAATTTTACATTGGACTTTAACCATAATTGGCTAATCTTTGGAATATGGTAACAGGTAGTTTGGCTACATTTTGGTAAGGCAATAAAGGTCACTAGCTAGGACTTTAGCAGTGTACATGGATAAAGTGAAGAGTGTGCGCAATGCCATTGTGCAATTCTGGGAATTATAGTCAATTTCAATAAATTTCTATTCTGTTGTAGTCTATTTAAATAAATTTCTATTTTCATTTAAAATTTGCCATTATTAGCACCTCCCGCACTTTTATGTAATCATAGGATTTTCCAAATTCTATTAGGTCCTTAACACAATTTCAAGGCCTAATAGAAAAGTGATAATATGGAGAGACTATGTCTTAAGTACCAATAGCCAAGTATTTTGTAATTAAATAAAGAAATAAAAATAAATATTGAATACCAGCCGCTTTTTTTATTTATTTTTAGTCATATAACAAAAGATAAACAAGAATACTATTACATCTAAAAATTATTTAATAAATTATTTTGCTAATTTTATATGAATGAGGAAACTCATAAAAAATGTTTTAATGATTGAATTCACCATTAAAAATCAAACCCCCAAATTCGTTTTTCCCAAAACTGCGTAAAATGTTTTGATTAAATTTGATTTGAATGAGTTTTCCAATTTTGTTTTGAGTGATATAAATTAGGATATAAATATTATTAAATTAGGATATAAATTATTAGTAGTAATAATGTTTAGGTTGATCTTTACATTATGGTAACTTGGCGTTTTTTTTGGCGACCAACTCTTTTACAGCAATCCTCTATTTTTTTTTCCCGCTGCCATTTTGTCTTCACGAAGTAAAGACATGTTTCTTTTCTTTTTATCTACTGAACACTTCTTCCAACAATCTACTAGCCGAATTACACTTCTGCTAGAAATTTTATCTAACAAAACTGCTTAATCATGACAAATATTCACTGCAAAATTGGGAAAAAGTGCACAATACCATACTCCTTACGCGTTTTTCAAAATAACACATACACATAAACCATGTACACGCCGACTTATTTTTACTTAAAAAAACATCCCAGAATTGCACAAAAATGGCATTGCGCACTCTTCACTATATCCATGTACACTGCTTTTTTCTCATAAATTAGAAAAATTTCACGAAAATACATGGACAATTTTCTCAATCTTTAAACCCGGTAAAAAGAACATATATGAAATCACCTGATCGCGAAAAGAAAAAAATTTACCCTTTCCAAATATCAACAATTCCACATATAAAATAAATAAAATATCCAAAAACTTTTTACCTCTAAATCATCTATTACATTATTACACGTCACCAACGAATTCATACCGCAAGCATTAACAAATACTTAGTATCAAATATTTAAATTATTTCCATGCACGTTTACTTCAACTTAAACGTATACCAAATTCCTACAAACATAAAATTCACAAAATAACTATCATTTAATTAAAATATAATTAAATTCAAAAAACACTACTTAAAATATAAATGAGCACATACATTAAATTAATAAAAATTACCTTACAATCCTAATTACTTTAAACTAAATCATTGCTAATAACAATTTTCCCAATAATACCAAATTCCTTTACTTGCACCTTACATTTAGAACAATGCATAAAAATAATATCCTCAAATAATTAAAAATACTAACTTACCTCATCTTCTTCAGAATCTTGATTACGTGTCCGATAAACTTTTCTTTAGTTACGGCCATGGGATCCAAAAATTCAGGAACACTGTTTCACACAACACAGAATAAACCAAATACAAAATTTCCAGATTTTTTCCCGATTTCCCCCCTTTTCCGATTAAAGAACCGTAATTCGTCCATTAAACACATGACATATCCCATGATCTCTCATTTCCCTCACACAAAATAATGCGTAATCGGAACTGAGTACTGCTCACATTATTACCAAAGTCCCAGGTCGCCTTTATCGCCTCCAAAATGTCGCCAAACTACCAGTTACCATATTGTAAAGATCAACCAATGTTTATATTATAACTTAGCAGAATATCGTTAACCGTTAAAAATTATATCTAAAAGAATTAAATTTTGTAAAAGAATAAAAAATGAAATTAACTGTTCCATTTTGTCCTTTATGCATCTATTTATATAAAAATGGAATCTGGCTAGGGAATTTACAACTTGTATATGAACTAAAAATTAGTATCTTGACAAAACTTGTCAGAACATAACAAGCATATATTCTGTGATATTAGTGTATTAATCAGATTTCGGTATATGTAAATGCAGTTTATAATTACCAGCATAAGTGTCATAATGGATTTTATTAAAACGGCAAAAACTGAATGCATGATCCTAAGCATTATCAAACCACGGTTCTTTATCCCGTTAAGTATTGCTTGGGTCCTAACAACCACGAGTTTTATTTTTTAAATATTATTTCAAATAAAACAGGAAGCGTTAAACGATATGCATTTTAAACAGTTTTACATTTTTATATGCATAGAAGTGTTAAGTAGTTTTAAATTGTACTTCATTTCTGAAACTTCTGCGGTACTATTTTTAGAACAGATCAAGGACTTTAAAGAACAAGTACATTTTAGCAATATGCAACGTTAATGATATAGTTCAAATGTTATTGAACAGCTGTACGATTTGTAACTGGCACTGGAAGAAGCAAAATTTATCTGATGATCCAATCTTCATTTAATGAATTAATAGAGAATGATACAGGGTGAGCTCTGTATGCTGGTCAGCATGTTAGTTACATACGAAAGCTAAACTACTTTTTTTTTCAATCCACTGGGACAGTTAGCATAGGCAAACTACTATTTGCTTGTACAAAACTGTACTAAAAGCTTACAGCTTATTTTAAATCAATTTCGTATACTGAATACAGCTCCTCCGAAAAGCGCTCTTTTCGGTTGATCTTTACAATATGGTAACTGGTAGTTTGGCGACATTTTGAAGGCGATAAAGGTTACTACCTGGCACTTTGGTAATAATGTGAGCAGTACTCACTTCCGATTACGCATTATTTTGTGTGAGGGAAGTGAGAGATCATGGGATATGTCATGTGATATTAATGGACGAATTACGGTTCTTTAATCGGAAAAGGGGGGAAATCGGGGAAAAATCTGGAAATTTTGTATTTGGCTTTATTCTGTGTTGTGTGAAACAGTGTTCGTGAATTTTTGGATCCCATGGCCGTAACTAAAGTGAATTCGAAATGGGTTTTTATGTATGTATTAATTTAATGTATGTGCTCATTTATATTTTAAGTAGTGTTTTTGAATTTAATTATATTTTAATTAAATGATAGTTATTTTGTGAATTTTAATTTGTAGGAATTTGGTATACATTTTAGTTGAAGTGTAACGTGCATGGAAATAATTTAAATATCTGACACTAAGTATTTGTAATGGTTGCGGTATGAATTCGTTTGGTGACATGTATAATGTAATAGATGATTTAGAGGTAAAAGTTTTTGATATTTTATTTATGTTATATGTGGAAATGTTCATTACTTTTTCGCAATCAGGTAATTTCATATATGTTCATTTTACCGGGTTTAAAGATTGAGAAAATTGTCATGTATTTTTCGTGAAATTTTTCTAATTTATGAGAAAAAAGCAGTGTACATGGATATAGTGAAGAGTGTGCGCAATGCCATTTTTGTGCAATCTGGGATGTTTTTTTTAAGTAAAAATAAGTCGGTCGTGTACATGGTTTATGTGTATGTGTTATTTTGAAAAAACGCGTAAGGAGTAAGGTATTGTGCACTTTTTCCAATTTTTGCAGTGAATATTTGTCATGAGTAAGCAGTTTGTTAGATAAAATTTCTAGCATAAGTGTAATTCGGCTAGTAGATTGTTGGAAGAAGTGTTCAGTAGATAAAAAGAAAAGAAACATGTCTTTACTTCGTGAAGACAAAATGGCGGCGGGGAAAAAAAATAGAAGGTTGCTGTAGGAGAGTTGGTCGGCAAATTTTTGCCAAAAAAATGCCAAGTTACCATAATGTAAAGATCAACCCTCTTTTCTATCTTGTTTGTTTTAGATTTCAGATTAAAGGAAAATGATCAGTTCTGTTTCTCAGAGACGTTTGTTTTTCATGGTTTTCTACATGTATAGCCCAGTTTCCCACTGA